GGGGGGGGGGGGGGGGGGGGATTAGTGAACCTGGGGCTTGCTGTGCCTGCCCCATTTACAACCAATGATTCTGACCAAAACAACACGAGGGCTACCAGGCGTGACTTGCTCTCGACTTTCTCCCTTCCACCTGTCAAGGAGATCCAGGGTTGGCTTCGTCTACTTTATTCTACCGAAATGCAGAGCTAGGAGAAAGAGCCTTTCCGACAGCTGTCAGGGCATACTGCTGCACGCAGCCTCCCTCACAAGGCACACTCCGGTCCCAAGGTTTGATCCAGGGCAAAGGCCTGCTCACCTTCCTCGCTGCTGTCCCTGGGAGCTGGCTCTTCCAGGCCCAGCCCAAAGAGATCTGCCTCGTTCTTCACTCTGAAGGAGCGGACCACAGGCTTGGCCAGCGGGGGAGATCTGGAAGGGGCGTCCTCATCCGAGATGTCCGAGAGATCCTCTCGCACTGGGAATTCCTCCTGGAGGTGAAAGGAGCAAGGCACCTCAGCACCCCCTCTTTTGCCAAAATGACCCCAGAGAAGCCCTCCTTTCTGATCCATCTGCACTTCATTCATTCTGCTTCTGAGTGCACTTCCTTGGGGTAATAAGAGCACCAGCTGACCCACAGCTTACCCTTCCAGACTCATTTAGAACAAGCTGGACATCAAGGCACTGACTGAACCTCAGCACAAGCAGGTGAGCCCTTTGATGCACCCACCTCCCCCCTTTCCGCTCAGCAGCTGGTCGAGGCACGCTCAGCACCACCCTTCCCAAGAAGAGCAGCGGCCATTCTGCTTAGCGGCATTCTCGGGAGCAGCAGCAGCTGTTGGGGCGTGGGGACAGCAGAAAATCATCTGGCCCCCACCTGCACAATTCTGAAGACGACCTAATATTCTTTGCTTCAGTCTCCCCACCCCCTAGCCTAATCCTTCAACACCTAAGGTTTGGGAAGGGCAGGAACGTACAGCTCGCTTCCTCTGGCTCTCTGACTCCTCGCTTTCAAAGTCAGGATCGTCCATCACAAAGGAGAGCATCTGCGTGGCGATGGGCCCCTCGGAGTCACTCTCGGAATCCTGTTGCTTGGAGGAAGAGGTAGCTGGGGGGGGACAGGCCTCAGGGCCGCCTGCCACCGTCAAACGCTTGCTGCTGTTCATTTGCTCAAATGGAGGCTGGCTGGGGGGAGACTTCAGCTCTGCGGCCTTGGTAGATGCTAAGGGCTCTGGGAGTTTTGAGGACTTTTTGGAAGCTCTAGAAAAGGAGGAAAAGGAAACTGAGGGCAGTGTCTGGAGGCCTCGAGTCAATCAAGCAACAACAGTCTGTGCTTGTTGTGCTTCTGCAGAAACGCAGCGTGGTTCGGCGGCTCAATCAGCAACGCCTTCGTTGAAAAGAGGGAGCTGTCATTCTTCCACATTGAAGAACCCAAGTTGAAAGAGCAGGAGATGCCGAGGACACGATCTGAGGTTTGGGCGGCATGGTCATTTCTGGTACGATAAGGCTAAAGTTAACGTTGACTTTAAAAGTCATTTGGTTGGATGGACCATACTGAGAATATGGAATAGATATAAATCCAGATCGTGTCCGAAAATACCTTAATTAAAAAAGAAAAAGAAAGAAAGAAAAGCCAACATTGCACAGAACATATAACATAACATTATACAAATCTTGCCCTCCAGCACAAGTTTATGCTTCGTGCAGAATCTTCAGTATTTTGGGTGGAAATCTAATTGATTTCATGTGATTCAGTGGAACCTCGGGTTACGAACTTAATTCGTTCCGTGACTCTGGTCGCAGCCCGAAGGAAATTTCCCCAGAAGGTTCAATGTAATTACCGTTAATCCGTTCTGGCGTGGAGGACAGGGAGGCGGCTACTGCTTGGAGGGAGAGTCCCCCTCCCTACGACCACGTGACAGGGGAGGGAAAATGGCCGCGTATCCTGCTCGTACCCCGAGGTGGCGTTCGCAAATCGAGGTAAAGTTTTGCGGA